CCCCCTTTCCTTTCCTTCTACTTTTTTTCCTTTCCTTTCCTTTCCTCTCCTCTCCTCCTACTTTTGCCCCCTTTCCTTTCCTTTCCTTCTACTTTTTTTCCTTTCCTTTTTCTTTTCCTTTCCTTTCCCTTCTGTAAAACTCTTTCTTTCTTTCCGTCCTTCTCGCGAGCAACTCCGAGCAACTTCTCCTCCTCTTCTCTCCAGCCTTCGTTCCCTCAACAGCCCGCCGAAAACGGGGCAGTTTTTATACCTGGACTGCCTAATCTTGCCAGCCTTTGATGTCAACAAGTTGTCAGAATTTCGACGTGCTCCACACGCTCCCTATTCTCATGCAACTCTCCACCCTGCGCCGCCCCCCCATCCCGCCCCCCGCCCCATCACCAGGAAGGGGTGACGAGAACCAGCAATTAATTACCCTTCCCCTCCCCACACATCCCCCCCAAGCGGGATGCGAGCGAGGTGGGTCCTTTCACAGCTGCTTGAAAAGAGCCAGGTCTCCGGTGGGTGCCCTTCGCTTCATACGGAGAATCGGGTGGGTCCTTTTGGGGGGGTTTGATCTGGTGTTGCCAGAATCGGAAAACCCGGATCTGAAATGGGAGCCGTTCTTGATCCCTTTAATCTCAAGGAAGAGGAGAATTGATTTAATTCCTGCCCCGGGGAAGAGACCTTTGATCATGTTATGTTATCGATTTTTTTTTATTCCCAATCTATCTAGCTATCTAGTTTTGCCTGGATTCTTGGTATGCACATTTGTGCGCGTCTGCATTCATTCATTCATTTCGGGAGGGTGCCAAACTTAAAAGCCTCACCTTAACAACGTATTTCTTTCTTAAGGGAAAGTCTTTGTGTTAGACTTTTGCAGTAAGAAGAACAAAGAGTTTTCTGGTCTCGTTTAGGGATTAAACGGTTTATTATCTCAGATGCCTCCCTTTCATCTGACCAAAGTGATGATTAGCCCTTAAGATTAATCAAGACTTTTTCTTTCTCTCACCTTCAGAGGAGGTGGCTGCACGCTTCTGCTTCCAAAGGCCCCTTCTGATTTCTTGCAACATCAAAGAGTTATTTTAAAGCACAAGCATTATATTTGCTTATCTTGTCATTTATGCCTGTGCTGTTTTTTTGACCTGTGCAGTTGAACGCTGCTGATTAAATTGCTGGTCTTTGAAGTACTGAAACAATCATTCTGCTGTATTAAACATGGAAAATGCTATCCTTTTTTGGGGGGGAAACCCCATATTTTTTCTCAATGTTGCTGTTGTGAAATTCCCAGTCAGGGCTCAGATTGGTTCAGACCAAATTGAGTGAATCCAAAGAATCTACTTGAGTTCTTTCACTGAATGCATATCTGAGACTGTTTATTTGTTGATTTATTTACCTGTATTTATGTTATTGCTTTATATGTTGCTTTCAATCTGGAGGTTCCCATATTTGTCCCTGCAAAAGTACCTGGGTCCGGGTGAATGGCTAAAATGATCCTGTGAGTTTCTATAGCTCTAAGTGGACTTCAGATTGGGTTTTCCTTCCTTCCTTCCTTCCTTCCTTCCTTCCTTCCTTCCTTCCTTCCTTCCTTCCTTCCTTCCTTCCTTCCTTCCTTCCTTCCTTCCTTCTTCTCATCCACCTTTATTCCTAGTTCAAGATCACATCAGCTCTTTTTTTAACTGAATGGACTTTTCTGAATAAAACAATGTAAACAGATTTTTAAAGACCAGTTCATGTTAAAAAGAGGAGCTAACCTGATTTCCTATAACTGAGCACCTGTGGAAAAGACTGCAGTAGTCTGAGCTTATGCCCATGACATGTGGACACCATGGCTTCCTTTCTTCTCCCTCCCTCCCTCCCTTCATTTTCCTTCCTTCCTTCTTTCCTTCTTTCCTTCCTTCCTTCCTCCTTCTCACCTACCTTTTTCTTTTCCTTCTGTCTCTCAACACAACTATTATTTGTATATGTTCCTTTTTATTTCACCAAATAAGATAAAAATTGGGATTTGGGAAATCTCAGCAGTATTTGTCCTGACCTTCCTCTCCAGATTTCTTATTTCAACTTTTTTATGATAGGTTTTTTACTGCCACCAAGTGGTTTTACAATTTTTCTCCCTTTTTCAGCCAAAAATCATTTTCCTGCATATTACTAAATTACTAAGCACTTGTAATTAATCTGAGTTGATTCAAAACAGGAAAGCACATATTTCTTTATACGTGCTTTGGATTCTATTCTTCCTTAAATTACCTTAATCATACAACTTCAAGGTACTGAAGTTTTGTTACATGGTATTAGACCACAACTATTACCAACCACACATTGAAGCACTGTAATACATAGGGTTGTGGCTAAATAAACTATGAACACCTTCATCTAATTCTAACTGACAGAAGGACAAGCATTTAAGGTTTACTTATACATTTATTCAATTTATATAGCCGGCCATCTCATACCTATGATCCTGAGCAGCTAATGAAAAATAAAATTGGATTTTAATATATTCAGCTCAAGAAATAGACCGAAGGGAAACTGGTACCTAGTGGTAGAACCATACACTAGTTTTGGTAAATTACCTATAGTTTTACACACACAATTTTAAACAAGAAAACAAAAACTAATGCAAACTAGTATAAAGAAGAAAAAAGAAAAAGAAACTAAAAAAGTGAATAATTGAAATATATTTTTCAGTGATCTGTGCCTATTAACAGCTGCACTATTGTTACTATTTTTATGAAGCTCCATGTTTGATGAGTTTTCCAATAACAGACCAAGGAGAATCCTGTTAGCCCAGTACTGATCCCCTCCTGTTATTGGAAGGCTGAAGTTTTTCTTTTCTCCAAAATGCAAAAAAAGTGATCGGGGTTTGGTTCAAAAGCTGTTGGCAAAAACTGAGTTGCTTTGGAAGAAAGAAGAGACTGCTGTCCTAAGTGCTGAAAAAGTCAGAAAATCCAAGTTTAATTATTTTAACCAACTTGAGAGAAAATTGGGAAATCTGATGATCATTTTAATCTACTACATGGAAGCAGGTTGCCATTTTAGATGTTTACATTGCAGGTTTTCCAGATATCAGCTAACAGCATTATTTACCAAGAGCTGTGTGATCCATGATACCAGATCCTAAACCTCCACTGTTTCATTTGAGCTGAATATATTTTTAAATTATTAAAAAATATATGGGCAAAAGTTCTTAATTTCTTTGTTTTAGAACCAGCTGTTATAGTTTCATGTTTGCTATTACTCAAGTTTTCTTTTGAAGCCTTCTCAAAAGGGTTCTTTGCCTTGAATACAATGTATACCACTTCAAAGTGAAAAGATCAAATTAAATTAAATTGTACAGATAAAATATAAGGGTCAGTCCCTTCAAGTTACATAATCTGTTTGAGGGTTTTGTTTCAGAAGCATTTCAAGTTTCATTCTGAGCACTTTGAGTCTAAGGAACATGTTTTACGATCAATTAACATATCTTGATCATTTAGTTTGTAAAACAAGCTTGTACTTCAAAAAGTCTTACTATCGAGATTCAAAAGCTGCTGAAAATAATGGGAATTATTTATCAGTAACTTCAAAGAGAAACTTAACATATGAATAATTGGTTTAGTTTTCTTAAAGAAGAAACAGCTAGAGATAGGGAGGCATTTTTAGAAGCCACAGTTTTCAGCTTGAAGAACTGAGGGGAAAATTAATTTCATGAAATGATGCTCAAAGAAAATGCATTTGTAAAATGTATTTTTATAGACAGAGAATTTACCAACACTACGTTATGTCCTGACAGAGTGCACTAATGGGTAATATACAGCTCTAAAAATCTAGAATAGACAGGGTTTTTTTTTTTAAAAAGCACATGTTCTTAATAATGTAATATTTTTAAGAATATGAGCAAATATATATAATACAGCCTTCCTAAAAATCTTGCCCCTCAAGACAGTCCAAACATTGTACTAGAACTTATGGAAATAGAGTATATGTTTGGACTGTCTTAACGGGGAAGATAGTGACAGATTTTATTTTCCTGGGCTCCAAGATCATCACAGATGGGGACTGCAGCCAAGAAATTAAAAGACGCTTGCTCCTGGGGAGGAAAGCTATGGCAAATCTAGACAGCATACTAAAAAGCAGAGACATCACCCTGCCAACAAAAGTACGTATAGTCAAGGCCATGGTTTTCCCAATTGCAATGTATGGCTGTGAAAGTTGGACCATAAGAAAGGCTGAGCGCCAAAGAATTGAGGCCTTTGAACTATGGTGCTGGAGAAGACTCCTGCGAGTCCCCTGGACTGCAAGGCGATCAAACCGGTCAGTCCTAGAGGAGATCAATTCCGACTGCTCTTTAGAAGGCCAGATCCTGAAGTTGAAACTCAAGTACTTTAGCCATCTAATGAGAAGGAAGGACTCACTGGAGAAGGGCCTAATGCTTGGAAAGATTGAGGGCAATAGAAGAAGGGGACGACAGAGAATGAGGTGGCTGGATGGAGTCACTGAAGCAGTAGGCGTGAGCTTAAATGGATACCAGAAGATGGTAGAGGACAGGAAGGCCTGGAGGAACGTTGTCCATGGTGTCATGATGGGTCGGACACGACTTCGCAACTAACAACAACAACAATGGGGAAGATTTTTAGAAAGACTGTATTACAAAGTAATTCCACAAAACATGTTCCTGTAGCTTGAAATAACTCATCTCCTTTTTTCTTTCCCTCACATAGTCATAGTCTGATTTTGTGTGTGTGTGTGTGTGTGTAAACAAAGGCATTTATTTAGACCCCAGCTCCTCCCTGTGCACTTTGTCCTATTCCTTTCCATCATAGTTAATCAAATTTTATCTGAATTTTAAAATGTAAGGTTCTTATTTATTGTTTTTAACATTTTAACATATTAAAGATTTATATGGTATTTTAATTGCATGACTGTAAGCCGCCTACAGTCTCCTTGGCAAGATGGGCAGCACAGAAGTCTAATAACAAACAAATAAAATGTATACCTTTGCATTTTTGTAACTATATGTGAGAGTGAGTTTCTCTGAGATTTGTGGATTTTCTGGCCAAACAGAAATAGAATTGCTGTGTAATTTTAATAAACATGTGAAATGATGCAGTGCATATGCAAAGAGTTATAAATGAGTGTTTATGTCCTTAAGGCAGTAAAGTAAATGCATATTTGATGAGAAGACAACTATGGTTTGCTTGTAAAGTTTTCTTATTTTTAAAAAAAAATAAAGCGGGAAGTATTTAAAATGGCTAAATATTTTATATTATAATGTACGAGATATGTGTAATAAATAGAGTGTGCTTTTGCAAATATTTTAAGGTGATGTATCCTTTCTGATTGAATTGCCAAATGCCGCTTTGATATTGGCTATGGAGTGATTAGTTAATATTGCCTAAGATAGTTAACCATATTTATTATTATCACCTATTACTATATCTACTATTGTTGTTGTTTTTTTAATACTGTATTTACTAAAAACCAACACCATACTATTATTGTTTAAATATATGTACCCAGACAATATGCTGTTTGCTAAACATCGAAAATGTTACCTGAGGAAACCCAAGCCTCAACCCCTACCATGACCCCAACCCTAACCTAAACTCCAATCCTAACCCTGACCCCATTCTACCCACCCTTTAAAAATTAATAAAACTTTAAAAAAAGAAAAGAAATTGGCAATAGAAGAAGTGTAGTTCTGACCTGCCGTGTATTTAAGCAGCTCCAAAGCACAGAGAGTGAAACACTGCCCAGGCCTAATAAATTTCAGCGTTAAGACACTGTGGAAATCAACTTTGCCTCAAAATTAGTACATTTTTTTTATTTATAGTGTGTTTTTCTCCGCCATATCATTCCACACACCAGTGCAGCAGATAACTCATAAACCAGGGGTCTTCAAACTTGGCCCTTTTATGACTTGAGGACTTCAACTCCCAGAATTCCTCAGCCAGGCACGTGTGCCTGGCTGAGGAATTCTGGGAGTTGAAGTCCTCAAGTCATAAAAGGGCCAAGTTTGAAGACCCCTGTCATAAACAATCCCACCACATACAGAGAATATCAAATGAAAACATTGAGAGACCGAAATGCAGTGAATGGGTTCAGCAATAATACATTATAGCATCATAATGGTAAAGCAACAGATCAAAACTATTTTGAAGTTGAATGGCATCAAGCCAAAAATAAAATAATGACATAAAAATAAAGCATTATGATATATGATACCAATAAAGGAGAATATTTATAGCTCGGGGTTGAAATGAGGGGTCCTTGTGCTTTCTGAACTTGCGTGTTTTCTTGCAGACATTTCATTCCCCCACTAGGTAACATTATCAGTGCTAGTCCTATATATGTCCTATATGATAGTATATTATATGAAACATAGGATAATATGTTACAATAATGCTACAATGTAGTAATGTACTATAGCAATATAATGAATATGCTGCTGCATTATGATAGGATAATTAAGGAAATTAAAAGCTATCGTGTTATTACCGCATAAGATGATCCCAATTCCCTCCCCCCCATTAGGTTTAAACTAAGAATAGAAGATATTAAGGAAGCTAAAAGTTTATGAAACACTATATAACATTTCCAATGCAAGTACTACTTTCAAATCATCAAAAAAGTGTATTGCCCCTTTAAGGGAAAAAAAGTGACGTTGCCCTTTTAAAAAAAAGGGAGGAGGAGAATCAGTAGGAATAGCTCTCGCGAGATTACGCACCAATAATCCCACGAGAGGTGTTTTCTAGTGCAAGATGGCGTCCGCTGGAGTTGGGGCCTCAACACCGGAGGATGGAGGCGACGGCGAGGCCACACCACCCAGTGTTCCGGAGCCGATGGCTGGGGAAGCTGCGGGGTCAGCTGAGCAGGGAACAGGGGACTCGGAGACCGGGTGAGGGCTGGCGATATGGCGGGCAAGAAGAGCGAAATTGGAATCTTCATTTCTATTGGCTGGGAGTCAAAAATAACCAGGGGGCACTGCTATTGGCCGGAGGTTTCGGATCCGCTTCTCATTGGTCGGAGGTTTGACTTTGCGCCCAATGAATTCCGTCCGGCTTCTTTTTCCCCGCCTCGTCGAATCCCGGGCTTTGCAGGAAAGCTTTCAATGGCGGGATGTATGGAGCCTGTGCTCCTTCCAGATGTGGAGACTACAGCTCCCAGAATTCCTAGCCAGCTGCAGTTAGGCCGCCGTCTCGTTGAATTTAGTCCATTTAGTCTCGGTTTTTGTTGGGGGGTGGCGACTCCCCAGATTCCCAGCCAGCCAAGACCATGCCTTTGACCCAAGACCTCTGTAGAACAGGGATTGGCTATAGTCAGGCAGCTGCATTCGCCTTTTGCTCCCCCTGAACTCTCATCTCTATTAATTCCAGTAACCAGACATGTTGGTTTGCTTGCCTCTTGTGTTTGTTGAGCTGCAAACCATGATTTCCGACTAAATATGTTGCATGAGCAGGCATGCAGCATATTAAGTATTTAAACCATGGTTAAACAGATTATGGTGTAGCTTGTTAAATGACAGCAGCGTTGCTGTTTCCTATTCTGGAATCAGGTTTTGATATTTCTCCAGCATTATTTCCTTCTCTGCTTCTTACATTCCTTTTAATATGTGGCTGGTGCTGATTAGACCATAACTTAATTCCCATCCTATATTGTGCACCCACTTCTTATTTAGTGGCTACTTTGGTTAGTGACCATTCACAAATAGGATGGTAACAGAAATTCAGTTTCCAACCAATGTGCAAATTTACGACTCAATCCATGCATCTGACTACAAGAGTGAGAGTCTGAATGAGACTGCATCTTGTTTTTGCCAGTCAGATGTTCACCTGGCACTAAATGAGGAATGGTTGTAAAACAGGTTGATTCCTGCTCTCTTGTTAAAAAGTATGAGGTTATTAGTGATGGTGGGAGGAACTTCTTTCTGCTTAAAACCATTGAGAATTGCTTCACTGAGCTAAAAGGAAAAAGTCTAGGATAAAAAGACATTTGCTATGCTTCTCTATTGGCAAATATCAGGTTAGATCTCTTGTAGTTACCTGACTTGAGAAGTGATTTAGCTTTTTTAGTGTGGTTTTGATAGCTGTTTTGGATTATAGCTTTCTACTTGGTTAGATATGTAATCTGGTCCTTGGAGAATAGTTGAGAATAGATGCACTGGAGTACATCATATCTATTCATGTTCTGGGAACCAAACTTAAAACGATCTTTCCAAAGCTAATCTGTATGACCAAATTATGATGGGGATACAATTATAGGAATGGTTACTGTGTATGCTGTAAGTGAGAAAAAAAAGTGAGATATGATTAAGTAAAAACATGCATATTTGCCAACTAAGTGTTGCAAATTGAAGTGTCTATCCCAGTGAGCCCTTCTTAACTGCTCTGCATAAATCTAGTGAATAGAATTGCTTGAGGTGACTCAGGCCTTCATTTTTAGGAATCATTGAAAAAATTCTTTCTATGCTTTGTACATCTAGAAGATCTACATTTTCCTGAGTCAAGGAAATCTTTGTCAAAACAGATTCAACCCTGGTATTTCTGGTTAATAGGCTAAGATGATGGATAAATATCGCCCACAACTTCCTGAAACAATATTTGCATAAAGGTAACAAAAAGCCACCAAGATCAGGGCTGAAGGAATTGCATAAATGTCTGTATACTTTTTCCCAACAGAATTTTTAAATCCAATCAACTGGAACTGCAAATTAACACTGTGTTTACTTTTCAAACTGAAAATAAAAATGTGATCACTTCCAATTTCCATACATCTAGTAGAAAGATTTTTTTAACACACATCAAATTAGCATCCTATAGTTTTGTTTTGTTTTCAAGAAAAAGAAAAAGCTATATCTCTAGCTTTTGAACAATAACATTTTATTAAACTATTTGATTACTGCCTGTTATTAATGGGGGGGGTAGGGAGGTTGTTTGCTGTAAATATAAAAGTAAACAGCTGTTTGGAATATTGGGGTAGAACAAAAGCACATACAACTCCAAGTTCAGTTTAAATTTAAAAATGCTCAGTGCCAGAATCAATAGATTCATTTTGTGAAACAATTAAAATTAATAAAACAAGTTCTAAACCTGTAATAATGACTTTTACTGTCTTTCAGGGGTGATGCATCTCTAGCTGATGTCACTGCTACCCTGGAAACAGAATCATCCAGTGGAAAGGATGCCTTGGTGTGTAAACAAAACCCGTTCTGTAGATAAAAAGCATGGTTCATGATTGATGTGGGTATGTTAAAAAAATCTAATAGATGTATGCAAATTGGAAGTGATCGCAATTGATTTTTTTTTTCAGTTTGAAAAGTAAATGCAGTGTTAATTTGCAATTCAAATTGATTGGATTTAAAAAATCTGTTGGGAAAAAGTATATCGATATTTATGCAATTCCTTCAATCCTTTAAATCAGGGGTAGTCAACCTTGGCTCTTTTATGACTCGTGGACTTCAATTCCCAGAAGCTGGCTCAGGAATTCTGGGAGTTGAAGTCCACGAGTCATAAAAGAGCCAAGGTTGACTACCCCTGCTTTAAATCAATTTGAAGGTACCTGATTGGATTCCTAAATCAACTTAGGAATTCAGTTTGAAGATATATTTCAATCAGATTGAATATTCAAATCAAAGCTCACATAACCATTCTGAATAAGGCCGACTTGACAAAAATGTAAAAATCCCAAGATACTGAAATCAGAACCAAGTGTTGATTTTGCAGCTGTATTTAGTACCACGATATGCGTCCTGGATTGTAATAAGAAACGTGAAACGAGATAGCCTAAAGAAATCTCAGCCGTGAAGTTGAGCAGGTGGGGATACAGTGGTTCACCTAGGGAAACAAACCTTTCATGCTTTACTGGGAGGAAAATATTTTAACTGATCTCGGTGGCTTTTTTGTTACCTTTATGCAAATGTTATTACAGGAAGGTGTGGGTGATGGTTCTGAAGTCATGGATAACCAGACTAGCTCTGTGGATGAGGATAATGGAAGACAACTTGGAGAGATTGAACTGCAATGTGGGATTTGCACCAAGTGGTTCACCGCAGAAACATTTGGCATTGATACCACGTATGTAGTAGCAGCATATTAATAGACTCTCTCTTGATCGGGGACAGAAGTTCAGTAGAGTAATCAAAACATCCTCTCCGATCTTTCCAAAAGAGGGCAGCACATGCTTATATCTGAGGTTGGTTTCAAATAATTGGTGGGTATTAGTTGAATTTGAAACTTCCCTTGTTACATAAACAGGGCTTAGTTTCATTAACACTTTATTTACGTAATTATTTACAAAATCAAAACCCCAGATTGTTCACTTTATTTTGTTGTTTAGCAATAGA